CTTATCCCCATGTGTATGCCTATGTATATGTTTGTGTATACACAGAAATATCTAGATCTATTTATACATCAAGGGGGTCACATGATGTCAATGTCAGCACACTGGAGATGTTACCCTGATTACTTGGCTAAAGTGGTATCTATCAGAATTCTCTACCAAAACTTATTTTTCTCTTTGTAATTCCTAAATATTCTGAGACTATGCAAACAGTGTATCCATTTAAACCTATGCTCTCTGTATTTTGGCGTGTACCAATGGATCTTGTCTGCGGCAGCTCTAACTGGACTTCTACTGTTCTATTTCCCTCGTTTCTTCTTTTTCTTTCTTTTTAAAAAAATATATAACACTTTCTGGCACCACAAAGTGATCCAGGCTCATCTTTTTTTTTTTTTTTTTAATTTGTTGATTTCTAGGGAGAAAGGAAGGTGGGGAGAGAGGGAGAGAGACAGAGACAGTGATATCTGTTGTTCCACTTACTTACACATTCACTGGTTGCTTCTTGTATGTGCCCTGACTGGGGATCAAACCTGCAACCTTGGCCTACCAAGGTGACACTCCACCAACTGAACAACCTGGTCAGGGCCTACTCAGGCTCACATTTTCCTACCTCAGTCCTAGATTCAACCAGTAGTCCAAGGAGTCATGATTCCTCCCTTTTATTGATACTTAGAAACCAAGATCTGGGTGCTAGGTATGCTCATTGCTTTTAGCCCCTCTCAATGGACAGAGCTAGAATGTATGTATCAAGAATGGTTTGTATGACATCAATGTAACCTGGCAGCCAAGGAGAGTGGACTGGAATGCGCATGCGTGAACAATGACGACTTCACTGTACTAGTCAGTGGGAACAGTAGACAGGACAGTAGACACCCTTGAGGGAGCATGTGTACTGTGTGGCTGTAGCATTCAAAATGACTGAGCAAGTAGATCAATAAATCTGCATCAAATTTTGTGTTTAAGCTTGAACATTCTCCACAGAAACTACCTGAATGATTCAGAGGCTGCAGCTAGGGGCAACAGGTGATTGGCAGCTTTGTCATAACAGTGCACCCACTCGTGCATCACATCTGGTGCAGAGTTTTTTGCTAAAACATCAAATCGCCCAGGTGACTCAGCCCCAGATTTGGCACCCTATGACTTCTGGCTTTTCCCAAAAGTAAAATCACCTTTGAGAGGGAAGAGATTTCAGGCCATCGATGAGATTCAGGAAAATACGACAGGGCATCTCTGATGGTGTTTGGGAGAACTGTGTGAGGTCCCAAGGTACCTACTTCAAAGTGGGGACTGAGGTGTCATTGTCCTATGTGCAAGGTTTTTTGTATCTTCTTCAATAAATGCCTCTATTTTCCACAGTGTATGGCTGGATCCTTTCTGGACAGACTAGTATCTATATACCTACCCGTATTTTGCTGTATATAATACCCACTTTTTTGCCCAAATTCTGAGGGAAATGCAAGGATATGCATTATACATGGGTGGTACCAGTACATAAAATTTCTTGTACCATGTGTTAAAAAACAAATGCTAAAATTCCTTTATAATACAAAAAACCAAGTATCTAAATAAATAAATACTTGAATTAAAAAAAAATTAAAAGGAAAGATTCCCCCCCTCAAAGTTTAGGCCCAAAACGTGGGTGTGCATTACACATGGCAAAACGCTGCACCTGCTGATCTCAGCTCATGCATCCGCACACACCCCTCCCTCTACATACTCTCATCAGCCAACCTAAACACGAATCCATGTGGGTACCCCGATTCCAGTCTGGCACTAGGGGTTTGACTCCCCCTTTCCTGATGTATGACTTCCTTCTCGTGGTGAGGTGAGGAACCAGACTCTCATCATCTACAATATAATGACTTGTTTGTCCAACCCTAGCATCCAAGGAAAAGTGATGAATTCCAAGCCCACGGCCCTGCAAGATTTACGAACTAGGGTGCTTTGCTTGTATGCAGTTCTTTTTGTCTTCAGCCTTATGGCATACAATCAAAACACTGTTTTTCCAAGGTCAGCAGCTCCTACCTTCCCACTGCCTTCAGTGTGGCTATGTGATTTATGTCCTCGTGCTGCAGGTAGACCTCGTACATCAGTTAGATTCGTCTGCATTCTACCCCCACCCCTGCCACATACGGGCTGCTTTCAAACAAACAAACAAACAAACAAACAAGCAAGCAAGCAAGCAAGCAAGCAAGCACACTGCTCTGACTGAGGGGCTCAGTTGGTTGGAGCGTCGTCTGGTACACCAAAAGGTTGGTTTCCATCCCCAGACAGGACATGTATTGGGGGGGCCGGGGGGGGGGCAACTGACTGATGTTTCTTTCTCACATCGATGTCTCTCCCTCTTCTCTCTTTTTCTCTCAAATCAATAAATACATCCTCAGGTAAGGCTTTTTAAAAAACAAAAACTATACACATTAAAATTGTGGTGTATAATTCTACAGGTTTTAACAAATGCATAAAAGTATGTGTTGAACATCACAGTTCAATGCAGGACAGTTCCATCACACCAAAAAAATTCCAATGGCAACTTTAGTTTTAATTCCACTTTCCCAGCAGCAACCAGGAGGTGGCAGGGTTTCCCTCTTAGAGGCAGCCTTCGCAGGCAGCTGAGCCTGCCGGCTCTGCCTGGGAGACCTGGCAGGCAGCTCTCCGTCCCTCACATCCGTTTGCCATCATCTTCTGGCTACGATTGTAAAGGTTATGAGGTTAAACTTCTTCTTCCCTAAAATAAGTGAATTTGGCTGGAAGGCTCAGAACCTCACACTCCAACTAAATATGTAGGGTGATTCAGCTGAGTAGTCAAGAAGGCATCCCATAAATAAACTCTGAGAAAATAATCTTCCCAGTGAAGCCAACAAAGGTACATGAAAAAACTAGAGACCAACACAAAACCAGATGAAGGTGGGTAGATGACCACACACTCTCTTTTCAAGACATTTCTCATTTGATCCTGGTGGCTGCTGGGGACAAAAACAGGGATTCCATGGAAAGTGACCTCCCGAGGTGATCTGATCATAAATTCCTAACCCGCAGGTCACGCCGGGCAGTCACTCCTAGGCGTATCACTTCCTTAGTAAAAGGCTTATCTTTGCCTTAAGCAAGTCCTGTCCATAGTTTCAGCACATCTAGGTTAACACATCTTTGAAATAAACCTCCCTCAAGAGAGCACGTAATCTTAACTACCCTGTACTCCAATCCACGTGACCACCCTAGAGACAGCACAGCATCTTAACTACCCTGTAATCTTCTTACATTCTCTCCTTGATCTCAAATGCATACTAAGAACCTGCTGACTGTTCTTCTCTGAAGCATTTATCTCAGTCTGTTGAAATCTTACTTCCAGGTGTATCCTCTTTCTGGCTCAAGTAAATTGGCCATTATTACCTCGACACCACCAATAAACAAACAGCTGGGGTAAAATCATTTTACTTCCCTAAACTACATTTGTAAACTGAGGGTAATAGTTAATACTCGGGTTGTTGTGTATATGAGGTAATGTAGACAAAGTGCATAAGAGTTTCTAGTACATGTAGTGCTCATAAATATTAGCATTATAAATAAATTACAAATGTTCTAAATTTATCTCGATGACTTTTTATTTATCTCTTACCTTTTCCCATAATGGGCAAATTTTCAAAAGACTCTTCTCATCCCACACGCACACACAAAAACCAACCTGAACTGTATCAGGATGCCTGCATTCTTTAATGTTACAAGCCAGTGTGAGCAGTTCACTAAAGCCGACTAACTCTCACCCCTGCACACTGCTACCAGGACTTCCTAACGCCTTGCTGAGTACTTTTACACACATGGTCACATTTAACGCTCTACAGAGAACTCCGAAAGGTACGTATTATCATTCCATTTCAAAGGTGAGATAACTGAGCATCGGAGGTAGGGAACGCACTGCCCAAGGTCACAGAGCTAGGCCGTCTCCAAGCTCTGCCTGCAGAGCCTCCATTCTCCCTACTGAACCACATGGCACCACGCTCCCCCACCCACGACAACACTCCTCCAGCTGCGCACTGGCCTCCTTCTCTTCTGTATCCAAGTTCTTTTTGGGGTGATTTTTACACTAACAAAATTTTACCACCTCTATGCCAACGGCTCTGCAGGCAGGACTTTCATCTCAGTGCCCATCCTCTTTCTCGGTGGACGGACATCTGTGTGTGTCCTTCTCAGGCACCCCCAACTCAGCATTACCAAGGCCAACACTTTGCCCTACGCTGCATTTTTAGCCTGACCTTTTTTTCTTGGTAGGGTCGGTACTATTAACTCAAACCTTCTACCTCAACTCCTGGTGCTGCCCGATAGCCAGTGTGTCACCAGCTCCTGCCAGGTGAGCTTCCCCCACACCTCCCGTCTTGTGCCATTACCTTCCCTTCCTTCAGATCCTTCAGGCCTTTCTTTGCACTCTTCTGGAAACTTTCTAGGTGGCTTTCGTGCTTCCCCCACCCTAATATGTTCTTCAAAGCTGCCCTCTGAATAAATCCTCTTAGAATATCTGTTTTTTTATGTTGTTTTGGGCTAATAGCTCTTGGAAAGCTTCCAAATAAATCCCAAATTCTTCACCAACCTGGATGCAGACTCCTGAGCATGCCGTGATTCCAGCAAACAAAATGATATTACATTTAGAGGATTTACTGCCTTCCTACCTTTTCATCTAAAATTGCTACTTCCTGTCATCGTGCCCTGAGAGAAGCACTAGTTCAGTGTGTTAGTCCCAGTTAGGGCTTGTTAGCTGGGATCTTGCCGCATGGAGCCTGTGCGTTCGCTCTCACAGAATCCCTAACATCTCACCAGGCTTCTTCCCCGTGTAGTCTGGGAGGTCCCTGTAGGCAGGAGCTGTCCCAGATTCGTTTCTGCGTTGTAAGTACACAGTACAAGGCCAGGCATACAGTGAAAGCTTGGGAAATAAATAATTCCAAGGCTTTACCTTTAGCTGATACTAAAGGTAAAATGGGTGAAGGGTGGGTGGGAGAGCCACAAACACCACTTACCCTTCCGATTCATTCCCATCTGGAGGCATTTGAGCAGGCGGCAGTACTGGCACCTGTTCCTCTGCTTCCGAGACATGACGCAGTTCTTGTCGCGGCTGCACCGATATACCCGCTTGTTGCAAATGCTCCGCTTGAAAAACCCTTTGCAGCCCTCACAGGAGATGATTCCATAGTGCAAGCCTGTGGCGCGGTCCCCGCAAATGAGACAGGTTCGTTGTTCAGCCCGATCATCTGGAACAGAAACTGAACATATTCAAGTTAGGGTACAGTGGGAAAATGGCTTTAAGCCTGCATTTCTAAAGCAAACAAGCCTGCTCTGGCGAGATCAAGAGCATCACCATCTCCAGTACAACTGGCAAACAGGGGACATCTTTAGAACCCTTGTCCTTGGAACAGACTCCTGCTTCTACCTGCAGATGCCACAAATACAGCCTATCAGAAAAAAGAACTCATACTCTTCCCCCTGGATTTCATCATCACTTGGACCAGTATCCAAGTCAGAAATCTGGGAGATATCCTTCCTCTTCCTTAGTTTCCTTTACTCCTCCCTCTCTCTTAGCTTCCTCCTGCCACTGCTCATCACTTTTACCCTGTAGGAGGGTATTAAGGATTACTGAAAATGTATATAAGTGCCCAGCACATGGTATACTCCCCCAAAATGATCACTGTAATTGTTAACAAGTGAAGAGGCTTTAAGCATGCCCAGGTAATAAGCCAGCCAGCCATTCAACAGATATGCACTGAGCAATTATTCTAGCCTAGGCACTACTCTAAGGCATGCACACAACAGTGAATTAAAGTCCCTGGTGAACCTCGCATTCTAGCAGAACATCTAACTCTGTGCCTAGGTTCTGTCCTAGGTACCGCGTATTCAGAAATGAATCATCGTAAGACCCAGACGTTAAAGAACTCACTGTCTAATGAAAAACGAGTTAGTCAAAGAGGAAAGTCAGGCTGGAATATAGCTCTCCACTTCCTCTTCCCTCAAATTCTACTTACTCAGGACTAAGCAGGTGCCAAAGAACATGCACATGACAAAAAAGTGCCCTGGTTCACTGTGATGTCAGACCTTGCTAACAGGTGCAAGAAACCTCCAGGAAAGGTTTTGATCAGAGGCCAAGGCAGGGGACCAGAGATCTGAGCCCCTGCTGAGTAACAGGCAAGGGTATAATGATGAAGTACACAGCCCTTACAATTATTTTTTCCAATAAAGCTTTCATTTACAGACACTGATGTTTGAATTTCATTTGACTTTTGCATCTCACAAATTATTATCCCCCACCAAGCATTAAAAAAAAATGTAAAAATCATTCTTAGTTCATGAGTTGTACAGAAAACAGGTAGTTTGCAAGCCTCTGCTCTAGCTGTTTCTAATACATATTTAAATAGATTTTATTTTTTATAAAAGTATTAGGTTGTCAGCAAAATTAATTAAGGTACAGAGATTGATAATGGTGCGGGCTACGCATGTGTGGGGGCAGAAGCACAGCCCTTAGAATTAGAGGTGCTTATTTGAACTCCAGTTCTTTACTTATTTATTTTTAGACAGAAGTAATGGGAGGGAGAGAGTGACAGAAAGAAACATCAATATGTGGTTGCCTCTTGCATGCCCCCCACCCCCACGGGGACCTGGCCTGCAACCCAGACATGTGCCCTGATTGGGAATTTAACCAGCGACCCTTTGGTTCATAGGCCTGTGCTCAACCCACTGAGCCACATCAGCCAGAGTGAACTCCAGTTCTGATATTCATCAGCAGGGTGAACCAGGCAGTTAAGTTACATCACCTCTCTGAGTCTAGTTTTGTTTATCTGTAAAATTGGGGTTATAATGGCACTTATATACCGTGGATAAAGTATTCAGCACAGTGCTTGGGCTACAGTAGACAGTTAATAAATAACAGCTATTATTTTCATTATCATTATTATCCTAACAAGTCTATACTTAATGTAATGACATTCCTGAAAAGCATTTGAACATAAGGTTAAAGGAGGGGCATGGTGCTATATACGAGGTCTGTCCAGAAGGTATCCAGCCATGTGATATAAAAAATAGAGACATTTATTGAAGATACAAGATACAAGAAACACTGCACACAGGACAATGACACCTCAGTCCCCACTTTCAAAGTAGACACCTTGGGACCTCACACAGTTCCCCCAACCACCATCAGCTGCCCTGTTGTATTTTCCTGAATCTCACTGATGGCCTGAAATCTCTTCCCTCTCAAAGGTGATTTTACTTTTGGGAAAAGCCAGAAGTCACATGGTGCCAAATCTGGGGCTCAGTCACCTGGGCGATTTGATGTTTTGGCAAAAAACTCTGCACCAGGTGTGATACACGAGCGGGTGCACTGTTATGACAAAGCTGCCAATCACCTGTTGCCCATAGCTGCAGCCTCTGAATCATTCGAGTAGTTTCCATGGAGGAACATTCAAGCCTAACGCAAAATCTGATGCAGCTGTTGCTCTACTCAGTCATTGTGAATACCATGGCCACACAATGCACATGCTCACTCAACAGTGTCTACTGCTCCTACTGATTAGTAGGATGAAGCTGTCATTGTTCACGCATGTGCATCTCAGTCCATGCTCCTCGGCTGCTGGGTCACATCAACGTCACACAAACCATTCTAGTTATATTAACAATGACTGGAGTTTTTCTGGACAGACCTTGTGTAAAGGCTGTTGCTCAAAGTCATAAAGCAAACAGCAGGTATGCAAAGAGAAGCAGATATGTGAGACCACACAGGGAAACAGAGAAAACAGATATACGTAAATGAATAAACTAAAGTAAAACGGCCCTAATGGTGCCCAGCCAGAAAGCACAGAACAGATTTCGACACCTCCTATTCTTGTAAAGGGCTTGAAGGATATTTAAAGCATGTTTACATTCATTATCTCACCGGTACAAGGCCAGGACAAGGGTTATTCTTACAGATAATGGCAAAGAACACTCGGTGAGCACCAACTGTGTGATGTTCATGGAGCTCTTCCATGTGCTGTCTCCATCACAGTAATTGGGAGAAGTATCATTATCCCCATTTCACAGGACTTAGAATCTCAGAAAGTGCCTTAAAAATTGCCTTGTACAAATATTTACCTAAACTCCCTCTACAATACAAGATGAGGCAAAAGTAGGTGTACAGTTGTTCATATGGAAAATAATACAATAATAAATAACATAAGAATAAACTGTTTCACATACTCACAACTGTACACCTACTTTTGCCCCACCCTGCATGTAAGAGTCATGCCCCCCGTGATTTTGTTTCTGCAAAATGTTCTAAAAGGAGCTTGCTGAATAATACAAAGGAGCTTTATTACTCACAAATATAACCATACATGAACATTATTAGAAAAAAGGTAACATGCTTGTCTTTGCTATAGTCTTAAACCTTAGGAATAATCTTTAGGGTTTTTTTTTTAATCAGAAATTCTTCTAGTGCAGGTAACACGGACTATTATATTAAATTTCATTACTTTAAATGTTAGCACTGCTGCTAGACAGATAAGGGGGCAGATGCAGAGCTTGGTTGGAGTCTCTATGGACACAATTTTCAGAGGCAGAAGTGTCAAATTCAAAGGAAATAATGAAAAAGATGAATAAAGCAGCTGACAGGTTGGCCTGGGAGATTAGTAACAATCTGAACCAGGCACAGAACCCTAGCAACATCCCTTCAGAGCACCACTGACATGCGTCTGCTCAAACACACAAATGTTCCATTTCTACAGCACTTGGTAGGAATGATAAGTAAATGAGAACAAAGATATTTGTAAACAAATCTGGTCACCAATCTGATCAGAACTTTATAATACTTAAGTTGTTTCATAAAAGTGGAAGGACTCCTTCGTTATAACTAACTGAGGTTGCACTGCAGGTTAAGTCTCAAAGAGATTATTAACAGGAATACCTGACACCATGATTTCTGCAGAGAAGATGCTCAGTTTATTGAATGAAAGAATGAATGAATGAACGAACAATAAATGAATAAAATGGTATGTGCAGGGCTTTCCAAATTACAAGTAATAATCCATAGTATCATGACTAGTATTTTTAGAATAAAATAGAAAATATCAAAGTGCATCCTATTAGTACAGGTATTGTGAAAGGTTTCCTTCATTTAAGGTGTGTGCAAGTTGTGTGTCAGTATGTACACGTGCATGGCAGAGTACTATGAACCACTGACTTAGTGGTTAAGACACACTGGGTATGAATTCCAGCTCTGCCTGCCACTTCCCAGCTTTGTAACCATGGACACATGACTTGATTCTTTAAGTCTCACTATCAACTATAAAATAGAGATAACATCAGTACTCACCTCATGAAGTTACTAGGGAATAAATGATACAGACATACAATGATAACAGCTAATCCATACCCGGAACTTATTATGTAATAGGCTTTGTTCAATATGTGCTGCATGTAACAAGTCATTCATTCCTTCCAATTCTATGTAGTAGATATTACTATTATCTCCATTTCACAGATGGAAAACATGAGGTGCACATAGGTTAAGTAATATGTCCAAGGTCTCATAGCCAGTAGCCAACAGAGCCATGGTTCAAAGCAGACAATTCTGCACTAGGATCTGAGACCTTTCACACTATACCATACTGCTGCTTAGTATAATGCCTAACATAGAGGAAATGCACAATAAATGTTAGCTGTGCTATTGTTATTAAACACAGGTTTTCTGTAAGATTAGAACCTGATAAAAATTTGCAACTTTATGAAACATTCTGGGAAGTACTTTGTTTAAAAAAATCAATCCTAAACAAAAGCAAAAAATAGTGCTTTAATTAGAGAGAGAGAAAAAAAAAAAAGGTGCCCTGGCTCGTGTGGCTCAGTGGACTTAGTACTGGCCTCTGAACCAAAGGGTTGCCGGTTCAGTTCCCATTTAGGGCACATGCCTGGGTTGCAGACCAGGTCCCCAGTAGGGGGTACTCAAGAGGCAACCACACACTCATGTTTTTCTCCCTCTTTCTCCTTCCCTTCTCCTCCATGAAAATAAATTAAATTAAAAAAAATTTTTTTAAGGGTTTGATAGAATTCAACACTTAGCAAACCAGGAATAGGGAGAAACTTATTTAATATGATAAAGGTTATCTAAAGAGACCTACATCAAATATTACACTTAACTGTGACATGCTTTTAAAAAGCTTTCTTTTTGAAATTGGAAGTAAGACAAGGATGGCCCATTACCAATACCTTCATTCAACATTATATAGAGGTTGAAGCCAGC